GTGGGGTTTGGAACAGCTCAGGGAGACCAGGACGTGAGCCGGTGGGGTTTGGAACAGCTCAGGGAGACCAGAAGTGAGCGGAGCAGTCTGGGACAACTAGGGAAGAAGAACTTGTCTGTCAGTTTGTCATACTGTGGTGGTTTGTGTGTTGCTGTGAGGCCGGAGGCTATGCCACCAGTATTTCAAATACCAGCAGAGTCACCCATGGTGCACTGGTTTCAGTGGAGCTTCCAGAATAAGACAGACTCGGAAGAAGGAAGAGGCCATCCATTTGTCAAAGAATTGGCCAGTGAAGACCTTATGAATAGCAGTGAAACACTGTCTGATATATTACTGGAAAACTTTATGAATAGCCTTAAATTACATTGTTACAAGCACTAAATCAGTGAACACAAGTAAAGTGCCCTTAATTTGACCTACTATTTTGGTTGTTTTTGTTGTTGCTCTTGATGTTGTCTATTTCTTAAGCAGCAAAGGTGTGTCTCAACACACAGAAACAAAACCATGCAAAGGTTCACAGGCTACAACAGAAAAGGGTGGGAGAGGACAACCCTCCTCTGGGGGAGAAACCAGGCCTCCTTTTCTACCTGCAAACCTTTGAAACTGTGCACTCACAGCGGATGGATGTGAGGCATGCAAATCAGACCTCAACAAAGTTTATAGTTTTTTTAAAAAAAAAGAAATAAAAAGTGTACGTTGGGATGGTGAGAAAGCAAGAAATGCTCTTGAAAACAACTGGTTCTGAAACAGATCAAATCTATAAAGCTGGCGGTCACGTCCACGTACTGTCAGTTCCAGCGCTCTCCTCAAAGGCGGGGTTGTCGAGGCCAGGCTCCTCAGCCCAGGCAGGGAGAGAAGCAGGGGTCAGGTTCCGCTCCACCAGCACCGGCCCCGTCCCCAGGCAGTCGGCTTCTGGTGACACCGTACCCGGGGGGTCTAGTATGGTGGGGCCATTTTCATTCTCGAGCTCCGTCTGAGTTTTACTAGTTTTCCTTTTCTCTAGGGCAGCTCTCCGATGGGAAGCTCCAGGACACCTAGGAAGAGAATATTGGGTGGCTTTCAGGTGTTCTGAAAGGACCAAAAAAAAGTGTAATAGCTCAAACCCTTGTCAACATTGACAGAATATGGCAATGATGTCCTTGGAAAGGAGCACCTAGAAAGAAGCACATGAACGTGAACTTAATCTCTATGAAAACGAAGTTCTCACCACTCCACACAGCAAATACAGCTACAACAAAAAGCATACACATGAACAAGGGCGTTGCCTCAAAGACCACTTCACTGAAAACCTGTATTCAGGTATATACTAGCACAAGGAGCTCTGGTGTGCAGTGGTGTTCTGGTTACCTGGCACTGCTCTAATAGAAGATACCACAAATGGGATGGCTTTAACAAATAGGAGTTTATTCTTACAATTTTTGGAGGCTGGAAGTCCAAGTTCCAAGTGCCAGGCTCCAGGGGCTGTATGAAAGCCCCTTGACCCTGGGCTTCAGCTCTGCCTCTTGCTCCTGACCCACAGAAGCTAGAGGATCTCTTCACTCAGCTGCTGGCTGCCGAGGCTGACAAGCCTAAGATCAACAAATAAAATGGCACAGTCCCGATATTATCAAACAACGTGGCAGGCCACTGATTCAAGTCCACTGAAGTTCCAAGGTTGGCAGAGCACGGCAGGCTGCTTAACAATGACTCGACTACATGCAGGGTTCACGCGTGCCGTAAGCTAGAGACCATTCCCAAAGCTGCTTCTTATATACAGGAAGCAGATCACATCCCTAAAGCAGCTACTCAACTGCTTGTGGTAGGTCCCACCATGGAGTTGACTGCCAGTCTCATCATAGGGAATAACTACCACCAGCTGCCCAGCCACTCAACCAGGCCCAGCCAAGTTGACACACAACTTTAACTACCATGATTGATTAAGGCATTTGGTTGCTAACCAGAGGTCAGTGGTTCAAACCCACGAACCACTCTGTGGGAGGAAGATGAGGCAATCTACTTCTGTAAAACTTTACAGCCTTGGAAACACTATGGGTCGCTATGAGTAGGAATTGACTTGGTGGCAGTGGGTTTGGTCTGGTCCACACTAGTACGGTGGAAATGTACACTCCCATAGTTGTCTTTGTACTGCAAGAATTATTTTTAAGTTCTGATTACACAGCCGTTTTTTACAAGTCACATGGCTTAGCCACAGGAATGGGAATCTGTAGTTTTCTTCCAAAACAAACTGCTGCCTGGTGACTTAGATCGTTAATGCCCCACGGTGCCTCTGCACTCTTCCCCACCACATTGCACATTAATTCATCAGTGGACAGTAATAGCTGAAGCTTCCCAAGTCACAAGGCACAGACCCAAATACTTCACTTTATGATAGCATGCAAGGTGATAAAAATAACCTCGTGCAAAATTAGAATCACAATAGTAGAATTACAGATATGCTGTGTGACGTGAAGCAGCTATTATAAGGAGTTGGGCACTTACATAAGCACCAGGAAACAGGCCCTATGGAGCTGCTTGTGTTTCTTATTTAAACAAACAGAAAGGGCAGATGGATGCTCTTGTGAACTCAGGGCCAATGAAACATTTAAATAGAGGCTCTGCTCAGCAAATGTCAGACGTGATGCCAAGGTGCCAGCTTTCTTCAGACATCTTGACTGGGCAGAGTGACTAAAAATGACCAGCCTGAACAGAAAATGGACTAGTCGCAGGAAATGAAGGAACGGCAATAAGAACAGGAAATGACGAGGAAACACACATAGAACGTGTGTACCTGGGAATGAACCTACTATTAACTCTGATGATTATAATGATTATGGCCCAAGCCATGATGTTTTCAACTGACTCACATACACGTGGAAGCCAGACAATGAAAAAGGAGGGTACAAGAACTGATGGATACTGTAGGGCTGGTGAGAATACTGCATATACACACGGGCCCAGGTTAAGAACGTCCAACCTATGTACAGCTCGTAGTTATGAACTGGCTCCTATAAAGTCATTGTATTAAAAATTTGAGGTCTATCCAATGGTTCATAATAACAAATGGGTGTTATTTTGTAATGCGCATTAAAACATTATTATTTTTATTACCGCATTACTGTGTTAAAGATGTTTTAGTGTATCCGGGTTTGTTTAATGTTTTTTATACTTAGAAAAGTATATTACATACTATATATTAGAGCACTGGTGGTGCAGTGCCTAAGGCATCTGACTGCTAACCAGAAGGTTGGAGGTTCAAAACCTATCAGCTGCTCTGCGGAAGGAAGATGGGGCAACCTACTTCCATAAAGATTTACACCCCTGGCAGCCCAATGGGGGTGGCTATGAGTCAGAATCAACTCAATGGCAGTGGGGAGCTCTGGTGGCGTAGTGCCTAAGGCATGTGACTGCAACCAGAAGGCTGGCGGTTCAAACCCACCAGCCACTCCTCAAAAGGAAGACTGGGCTATCCAACTTTGTGGAGATACAATCTTGGAAACCCAAGGAAGGGTCACTATGAGTTGGAATTGACTCCAACAGCAGTGAGTTTGGTTTTTGGTTTATAAGACAAACATTTGACTAACTGACATTAGATACGAACCTGTACATTTTTTTTTTTTTTAATTGTGATTTGGGTGAAGATTTACAGAGCAAATTCATTTTCCATATAGCAGTTCACATACACTTTGTCTCATGTCATTGACCACAGTTTACTACAATGCAACAGCTGCCCTCCCACTTCCTCCCCATAGTTACCTCTTCCCAGCGTCCAACCCTCCATGCACTCCTGCCCCCTGAGCTGTCTCCTGTGCATAAGCAGCCCTTCTTTCTCCCATGATTGTTCTCTCCAAGGAGTGTATCTACTTGAGGTAAATGTTTAACTCATATACCTCTATTTTGCTTGGCTGAAAAGCACAAGTGTGGGTTCAATTCCAGACCTGAAGGGCAGTTAGGGGCCATAGTCTCAGTGGTTCCACCAGGCTCTTCGGACCAGCAAACCTGGTCTCCACTCTTTTTCTTCCAAATGATTTTGAGTTTTGTTCCACATTGTTTTCCCTCTCTATCAAGGATCTCCTACATAGGTCCCCTTCCAAGTGGATGACAGTGGTAGCTGGGCACCATCTAGTTCTTCTGGTCTCATAGTTGTATAGGCTGCAGGATGGTGTACCAGTCTCTAGGACTAATAGTTTCCATGAATTTTGGTTTTCTTCATTCTTCTTTGCTCTGGATGAGGAGAGACCCATCATTGCATCTAGATGGCAGCTTGCTAGCTTTTAAGATCCCACTCACTACTCACCAAAGTAGGAGGTGGAACAGTGTTTTGTGTAGTATGTTATGCCAATTGAGCTTGATGTCCCCTGCGACTATGGTCCAAAGCCCGCAGGTTCAACTACTTGATCCCTCTTGGTAGCTGGCTGTGACCAAGCAGTGACCACAACCTTGCCCCTTGTCAGCTCTACTATACACCTGGGAATTCTGATCATTCACATAAACTTATAGGACCATTGTCTGCCAACCCTATATATGTTCTTGGATACACTCCCCATTTCATAGACACACCTAATCGTTTAGCCTGTCCACCCATCTATCCATCCATATACCCATGTCGCCTTCACTGACAACGCAGTACTATATGTACAAAAGGCGAACCCGTAAATTTTCTGACCTAACATACAAATTCAACTTAAAGACAGATATATAAAAGGAACACCTTTGTAATCTGGGGACTGCCAAAAGAACGAATCAGGCTTTAAAAAACTACATGAATACTCCTTAGCAGCAGGATGGCAAGACTTCAATTTACCTACTTAGGACAAGTGGTTAAGAAAGACCAATCATCATGAAAAGACATCATGTCTGATAAGGCAGAGGGTTAGCAAAATGAGGGACGCTCTCAATTAAACGGAGTGACAGAACAGCCACAAAACGGAGTCAAACACACCAACGATGGTGAAAATGGCTCAGAGCCACGCAAAGTTGTGCTCTGTAACACACGAGGTTGACATGAGCTGAAGCCAACTGGAGGACAGCTAGGAACAAAACTAAGTAAAAAAACCACCCAAATCAAGTAATTATAACTACCTTACCGGTACCATAGGATAGCACAGTTATCATGTTACTCTAACAGTTACTAAGGACATCATGCTTGGTGAAGTGGAGGGTCAGCGAAAAGGGGAAAGCCCTCAACGAGATGGACTGACACAGTGGCTGCGACGATGGGCTCAGGTACAGCAGGGATTGTGAGGCTGGCACAGAACCGGGCAGTGTTTCGTTCTGTTGTACACAGGGTCACTATGAGTCAGAGCCAACTCCACGGCACCTAACAACAACAATAGTTACTAAACACACAAAAATAAATACAAGAAGGAAAAACTACAGTTGTTAAGTGAAAAGACAGGTATACTTAAATTCTCAATGGGACAGCAAACTGTTGACAGAAACTAAATCAAGTTTTTTTAAAATGAGATCACTTAACAGGAAGGACAGAATGATCTCATCTAGCATTAGAGAAGGAGGGCTACAGGTGGATCTGTCAGGAGCGCCCACCTTTAAAGACGTTACCCGTCTGAGGAGACTGCATTAGAACAGTTAGAGGCAGGAGGACACTAGCAGACAGACTTCAGACTCTCTCCCCAACTGTCTTTGCCTCAACAGAGGAAAAAGTGGTCAACGGTGCAAGTGCCACAAAAGAGAAGGACCAAAAGGTGTTGGCGTGATTTGGCGGCTGGGTTACAGCGACTGGAGAAAGAACATTTTCAGTGGTAAAGGCAAAAACCCAGAATATAATTACAGTGCAAAGATTTCTGTGAACCTGATACATGAATTCTGCAAAACTCAGACACTAAAAATGACAGGCTTATGGGAAAAAGATGGTCGGGATAGATCATTCCAAACCTATGCAGCTGGGAATAGGAGTGACTGCCAACGGATATGGTGTTTCTTCCTGGGATGCCCGCAATGTTCTAAAATTAGGTTCTGATGATGGTTGTGAAATTCTGTGAACATGCTAAAAACCACTGAATTGTTTACTTTAGATGGGTGACTTTTACAGTATGTG